GACAGTTTTCATGCTCTCAGCTCCAGTGCAGATAAGTTTCAGCAGGGTAGAGTAGCTGGGGAAAATATCAAGGTCCAAGAATCAGATTCAGGAGGAAAACTTTGATAAAGAGTAAAAGGCAGTGAAAACAGTTCTGAGAAAGTATTACCGGTAGAAGTAGAGAAAGAATAGTGAGAAGAAAGTCAGGGTGTAGATACTGACAGACTTGGAAGTTTATAACCAGCTCAGAGAAAAAGATGGACTTTCTGTTCAGCAGATCAGCCACCCTACTGTTATTCTTCCTGTCGACATGGTTTGGGGGATTTTCTTCGGTCCTGGGCCAACACTTGAGAGAGACAGATGCACTGTGTAATGCAGATGGCTGCTTTGTGGTCTACTTTGAAAGCAAAATCTTTCTGGATTCATGGAGGACCTGCAAGGAAAAAGGTGGAAATCTAGCTACAATTAAACGTAAAGAGGATGCCAGCGCCATTGCTACACTCTTCTCCAATGTGGACCTACCGCTGTCTCACACCAAAGTTCGAGTTTGGATTGGCCTGCAGCGACAACCTCGTCAGTGCAATGAAAGGCTTCCTCTGAGGGGTTTTTCGTGGACTACTGGTGACCAAGACACAGAGTATACTAACTGGCAAAAAGAATATTCTCCCAGTTTGTGCATGATACCTCGCTGCATAGCAATGGGCTACAACACTCAATTGCAGAGTGATAACTTCAAGTGGCTGGATAGTTCATGCTCTGTCCCTGTAGATGGATATCTTTGCCATTTTGCTTTCAAAGGAATGTGTTCTGCCTTGTGGAGTGAGGGTGCAAGCAGTGTTGTCTATACTACCCCATTTAACCTTGTGAGCACTATACTAACTCATGTACCATTTGGATCTGTGGCTAACATACTCTGTCCAACAGACACCACTGGGGACTGGTCGCCTATTCTGTGTACACTGAAGGATGATGGCTCAGTGGGATGGTCACGTGAACCTCCTCTTTGCTCTGATTTCTCTATATCACAGGACCCATGTGACCAAAACAATGGTGGATGTGACCACTTGTGCAGGGTCGTCAATGGTGAGTTCTTCTGTGAGTGTGCTGATGATTACCATCTAGGAGATGATGGACAGACCTGTGAGCTTACCAATGCTTGCCAAGGGTACCCCTGTGAGGGTGAGTGCTTGACCCTTCCAGATGGCTACCGCTGTGCCTGTCCTGATGGATACATGCTGGCACCAGACGAACATGCCTGTCTGGATGTAGATGAATGTTCTCTGAGTCCTTGTGAGCAGCTATGTAAGAATGCTCCAGGGACATTTGAATGTCTGTGTTTCAATGGTTATATTCTTAATGACAAGAATGGGTGTGACGATGTAGATGAGTGCACCGAAAACCCTTGTGAACATACTTGTGTGAACACTCCAGGGTCACATTTCTGTCAATGTGATAGGGGTTTCACATTTGACCCTCAAGAACCCAACCGATGCCAAGACATTGACGAATGTCAAATTGCTCACATCTGTGACCAGATGTGTGTAAATTATGAGGGTACTTTTGACTGTTATTGTAAGGAAGGCTATGAGCTAATGCCTGATGAGTACACCTGTCAAAAGGTAGAAGAAGATGAATATAGACCCATGGTCACCCAGCATCCTGGGCTTCTTTGGGATGTTGTACACTACCCCTGGAACCCAGAGTCAAGCAACACTCCCTGGACTAAAGAGGAGGACCAGTATCTGGACTGGCTTTCCGAAACACAAAGTATTTTGGATTCTGGTGTGATTCCAGTCACCAGCATCTCACAAGATGAACATTCTTTTGATTTAAACCCTCAGACTGAAAGTGCTCACCTATTGGAGTCAGACCAACCCGTTTTATTCACCATTAGCTCCAGCACCACCTCAGACTGGAACAAAGATAGCAACGAGGAGACTACTACAGCTCCACCATTGCTTCCCATCTCTACAATCTCTGAGGGAGCCTGGAATTGGTGGTCAGGGTGGGTCACATCCACTCACAGTCCAAAAACTCAAGAAGTAACTCACGCCAAAATGTCTGCAGAGTTAGGTACACATAAAGCAGCTGAAGAAAAGCCCCTTCAAAGGGAACTCCCCAAATTCCCAGAGGAGGGGTCTGAAAACGACAAGAATTATATGGAAATAACTCACACTGGAGGCCCTGCTGCTCCCTTCCAGTTTACTACATCCCAACCCCCCGCGGGAGAGAGTGGGAGGGGTGGCGTGACCCTGGATCCCGACCAGAAAGATAAAGAGCAGAAATCGAGCAGCACTGGGCTCCTGGTGGGCTTACTTGTGCCTGTCTGTATCTTTGTTCTGGTGATGGTGGCTCTGTGTATCGTCTACGGCACCCGCTGCTCAGTTAAACCAAAGAACAAAAATAGCCCCAAGTGCTATCACTGGATCTCTGGAGCTCACGACAAACAGGGAGCTCCTAACCTGTCAACAGGAGTCAAGACCCCCGTGTGATCTGAGAGACAACCAACACTGGACCGGCTTTCTAACTGTTGAACTTTCTGAAGATGTTGACATTACTGTTTAAGATCAGCCGAGAGAAGAAAGATGAGGATGTGGAAAACATCTGGGGGAATGTTTGCTGCACGTGTTGAAAAAGAAAATATCAGTTTGATTTATAATGGGCTGTAATTCTTTTAGTATTTCACAGATTATATCAGAAATATTTTAAATTGTTGAGACAGCAATAATATGTCTGTCCAAGGTAAAGGTACTTGACGAAAAGATTTTTTAAGCAAAATGATTTTCATTTGATGAAGGATGATGGTTGATAATTGTAAGCAGGACTCTTATAAATGCTGACTTTAACCTTAAACAAGTAGAAAATAAGAACCTCTCTGAAGTAACATAATCCTGTAAAACAAACAATCTGAAAAGTATTCATGGATCACAAAGGTTGGCATAAGAACCAAATGTTGTGTGTAAATATTAGGTATTATATTTTTGTTGTTATTTGTTTTTTTCATGAATAAAATAAACATTTGTTCATAGTTTTTACTTCTGTAACAAACCTGATGCCTAGTCTCATTTTCTTTAAGAATCTTGCAATGTGGGCAGCACGGTGGCTCAGTTGGTGGAGCTGTTGCCTCTCAGCAAGAAGGTTGTCGGTTCAAATCCCGGCCTGGGATCTTTCTGAGTGGAGTTTGCATGTTCTCTCCGTGCATGCGTGGGTTTTCTCCGGGTACTCCAGTTTCCTCCCACAGACCAAAAACATGCACGTTAGACTGATTAGTGACTCTAAATTGTCCCTAGGTGAAAGAGAGAGTGAATGGTTGTTTGTCTCTGTGTCCCTGTGATGGACTGGAGACCTGTCCAAGGTGTCCCCCACCTCTCGCACAGTGATGGCTGGATACGAGCACCAGTGACCCCTGCATCCCAAAAATGAAGAAGCGGGTAAAAATAATGGATACATGGATGTTTCCAGTCATTCATGCCTGTCTATAGCAGTGCTATTCAACAATGGAGGACGGAATGTGACAAAATTAAATAAATAAATAAATCATGAAATAAGTAATTTAATTGTATATTTAATCATTTAATTGTGTTTTTAATAATTTAATGGTGTATTTAATAATTAAATGATACATTTCATTATTATGTATTTATGTATTTAATTTTATCACATTCCATCCTCCATAGACTTCTGGCCTGATGGTGACTTCAGTCTGGTCCACCAATGAGTTCATTAAAAAAAAAAAAAATTTTTATTTCTGGGTTTGATTTGGCTTCTGTTTATCATTTATGATTCAATGCAACAAAATAAAAAAAATTAAAAGGTAACAGATCATTGTAATACCTGATTTATTTACATAATGTCCGGCCCCTGAGCTGCTGGCTCTCAGAAACTGTGGCCCTGAGCAGTTTAGTTGAACAGCCCTGATGTTCTCAGTAAAACCCTCTCCACATTGATCTGAAGCACCTTTTATGTGGGGATGCTCATAACCCCACCTTTGTCAGGGGGTGGGGAGGTTAGGGGCATTTGTGGCTTTTGACAAGCCACAAAATATAATTTTTAGCACATGCTAAAACTCATCATTTAATGAGTTTTTGCAGTTACATCTATTAATTATTTTATATGGATGTTTCATTTTAATCAGTTGAGTGGTTCATGGAATATTTTGCTAACAGACGGGCAGGGTTTCCTCTACAGTTAAAGCCAGAGTTTTAAACAAAGATCAGTTAGAGCTCGGAGTCTGTGTTGGAACTGGGCCTCAGCTAAAATCACAGCACACTTCAGCTCAGTTTGTGTGAAATTAACTGGAGGTATGACTATATGTTTGTGTTGGCTAATGTTGATTAGCTGCAGAGGTCGTCTTGAAGTGGATTGACTTTTAAAATTAATCTTTTGCAGATGTGCACTTTTTCTGAAAGTTTCCTTTAAATCCAAACAATGCTTCAGTAGATATTTTACTAACAGACAAACAGAGGGCTGTTTTAAGCAAAGAGCTTGCACAATGAGCTCACGTGTTTTGAATGACTCTCAGCTCCCACTGCACCAAGTTGCTTTTTTATTCAGCTTTTATTTCTACAGGTTAGTCTCACTGAGCCTCAAGGACTCTTTTAGAAAAGAGACCTGCTTTAAACAAAGAACACAGATGACAGACAGTTGTTTTTCTTCTTCTTCTTCTTCTAGTATTGTTTTATGGCGGTTGGCAGACC